GGCTGCAAATTTAAGGGACAATCATTGGGTCTCATGAGTGTGCTGGCCATATCCCACCGAGCTCACTGTGATCCTTCACCTCCTCTCCATCCCATCAGGCTCCATCCTGCGCCGCTGGAAGAGAAACTGGTTTGTCCTCTACCTGGATGGCAGCTTGGTTTACTACCACGACGCGACGCAGCGCGACATGGACGGCCGGATCCACGTCAAATACAGCTGCCGGGACGTCAGGACCGGCCGTGAGTGCAGAGGTGAGCAAAGCCCCATGTCCCCAAGCCCCATGTCCCCCAGGCCCCATCTCCCCCAAGCCCATCCCATGCAGTGCTCTCCACATAGCTTTTCAATGCTGCTCTGCACATCTAAGATACCCCAAAAATCATCCAGGCTGCCTCATTCACCCCTTTTTAGCTCCCAGCCAGCGCCAGGCCATCCCCCCATGAGATTTCCATTGCATTTTTCTCTTCCTCAGCTTTTCCACGGGGAAGGAAGGAAGGAAGGAAAGAAGGAAGGAGACACTCTCCTCCTGGTTTGTGCTTGTTCAAAACACGATCCCACAGCCCTGACTCATCCCTCGCCGTCTCGCACAAACAAGGAGAACAAAGCAGCAGCTCGGCTCAGCCCACGGCTGCCACACAAAGCGCCTTTCTTGGGCTGCGAGCGGTGACGACGATGCCAGGATGCCATGGTGGGATCACAAACCCAAAGGTTTATCCTCACTGGAGGGTCCCATCGAGCTTTGAGAATTGGGGAAGATGCACAAACCTCGGGGATTTAAGAGTTTGTTCTTCCCTGAGTTCATGATCTGACTCCAGCAGCGAGTGTTTCAAATTTCTACAAAATTTAGGTGCTTGCTGCAACCTGGCAAATTCCAAAAGCAAATTCCAAATTCAAAGCAGCTCGGCCTCATGACCTCCATCAGATTTTTTTTTTGGGGGGGGCCATTTTCTGCCTTTCCACTTTCTTTCTGCTGTGGGGGAGTGAAAGTTTCTGCTCACCAGGAGCAGAAAGGCTCGTGTTGGCTTTTAACCTTTGAGAGCCTGATCCTAACATAGAATCATAGAATCACAAAATGGTTTGGGTTGGAAAGGACCTTAAAGCTCATCCAGTTCCAGCCCCCCTGCCAGCAGCAGGGACACCTTCCACTAGACCACGTTGCTCAAAGCCTCATCCAACCTGGCCACAAACACTTCCAGGGAGGAGCAGCCACAACTTCCTTGGGCAACCTGTTCCAGTGGCTGACCACCCTCACAGTGAAGAACTTCTTCCTAATATCTCATCTAAACCTCCCCTCTTTCAGCTTAAACCCATTTCCCCTTGTTATGGCATTAACTGCCCTTAGGAAAAGTCCCTCCCCAGCTTTCTTGTAGCCCCTTCAGGTACTGGGAGGTATTAAGTGGACATGGAGCCGAAATTAAACCCCAATTAAGAGCACGGTGTCCCCAGAGTTTTTAATGATTGTCTTAGTGGTACACGTGGTGCTGCTCACACCAGGGGTAATTTAGAGCCTGACTTCCTCCTGAGAATGTCCATGGGTGGACAGAGAAGGTCTCTGGGGTGTCTCTTTCACTTGAGGTTGGATCCTGCCCCTTCCATTTCCAGACGTGCAGCCTCCCGAGGGGAAGAACCGCGACTGCCTGCTGACCCTGGTGCTGCGGGACGGCTCCAAGACGACCCTGTGCGCTGAGAGCGAGGACGACGCTGTGTAAGCTGAAATGCTGCTGTGGTGGCACTAAAATCCCCTCAGTGGCTTTTTAATCTGAATTATTGGAGCCTGGAAAGAGCCTCAGCCACGCAACAGCTCCATCCTGCTCCCACCATGTCCCACCCGTGGCTAAAGCCCCACAGAACCCACGTTTTTCTCAAACATTTGGTTGCAGGGCGATAGGTGCAGGTGGAGATTTGGGTTTTCTGCTGAATAATTCAGAGCCAAAAGCTGCTATTTTTAAGCAGTTGGTCTCCTGTGGAACAAGTTTCCCTCCTGGGTGAGAAATCACCTCTCAACCTGTCCGAGGATCTCACTGGAAAAGGGTTTTCATCAGTATTTGGCAAGAAATAGTGTGAGAGTGAAATCCTCATTGGTTTAAGGCCATACCCAGCAGGAGGAAACACCCACTTTTAACCCTGTTCTATTTATTACTATTAAAAAAAAAAAAAAGAAATTTATTTTTATAAAAAATTAAAACATTCTTTGAAAAATAACTGATTTTTTTAGAAAAAAATAAAAAGTGAGAAACCTTCAGCTGCTCTTAGATAGGGGGGAGTGTTCAGCTGTGGCCAAGCTGAGCTTGATCCATTGAGCTTGACCACAGTTGAATGGAAATTCATCCATTATCTTGGTTTTTCCCCTCAATTTAGATGCCATTTTCCCACCTGCCCTTCTTTTAGCTGGGGTCATTACCAGGGAGATCATTGAGCCCTGTGCCCATCCCCATGGCATCAGGTACCTCCCAGCACCATCCCATCCCCACCTATGTCCTTGCTGCTGGCAGGGGGGTTGGAACTGGATGATCTTTAAGGTCCCTTCCAACCCAAACCATTCTATGATTCTATTAGCCCAGTGTTGGCTAATTGAGAATTAAAGATCAACACTGGCCCTGTGGCCACATCCAGGTCACCAGGGGAGGGACGGGGACAATTCCCACCCCTCTCCAACACATCCCAAAACCAGGTCCCTCTCTTTTGTTCACAGTGCCTGGAAGATGGCCGTGCTGGAGGCTAAAGCCACCCCGGTGAGGCTTCACCCCCAAAAAGATGGGTGCTGTTCCAGCCCAGGCTTTGTGCAGGGGGTGGGTGGAGGTTACACCAACCCCAGCCCCACCTTGGGGTGACCCCCCGAGACCCTGCACCCATCGAGCAGCCTCGGGGCACAGCGGGTAAAGCCCCTGGAGCTGGATGGGGATGAAGGTGGAGGAGAAGTGGTAGTGAGAGAACAGTCTGGTTGTGATGCCACCGATGGATGAGGACAGATGAGGGTGACCCTGGGGGTGACAGGGACAGAGTTATGGTGATGGGGACAGAGTTAAGGTGGTGGAGATACAGTTATGGTGACAGGGGACAGAGTGAAGGGGAATTTGGGGCAGAGTTAGGGTGACAGGGGACATAGGGTTACAGGGACACAGTTCAGGGGAAGAGTTAAAGTGACAGGGGACACAGTTAAGGTGACAGGGAAAGAATTTAAGATTATGGGGACAGAATTTAAGGCGACAGGACACAGTTAAGGGGAATAGGGGCAGAGTTAAGGCGATGGGACACAGGGTTGTGGGGACACAGTTGAGGTGCTGGGGGACACTGTTAAGGGGAATACAGGTGAAGTTAAGGTGACAGGACACAGTTAAGGTGACAGGGACAGAATTTAAGGTGACAGAACACAGTTAACGGGAATAGGGACAAAGTTAAGGCGATGGGACACAGGGTTATGGGGACACAGTTGAGGTGGTGGGGGACACAAGGGGAATGCAGGAGGAGTTAAGGTGACAGGGACACAGTTAATGTGACAGGGACAGAATTTAAGGTGACAGGGACACAGTGAAGAGGAATAGGGACGGAGTTAAGGTGATGGGGACACAGTTAATGTGATGGGGCCAAGTTAAGGGGAATAGGGGCAGAGTTAAGGTGACGGGGACACAGGGTTGTGGGGACACAGTGGAGGTGCTGGGGGACACAAGGGGAATGCAGGAGGAGTTAAGGTGACAGGGACACAGTTAAGGTGACAGGGACAGAATTTAAGGTGACAGGACACAGTTAAGGTGACAGGGACAGAATTTAAGGTGACAGAACACAGTTAACGGGAATAGGGACAGAGTTAAGGCGATGGGACACAGGGTTATGGGGACACAGTTGAGGTGGTGGGGGACACAAGGGGAATGCAGGAGGAGTTAAAGTGACAGGGACACAGTTAAGGTGATGGGACATGGGTAAGGGGAATAGGGGCAGGGTTAAGGTGATGGGGACAGAATTTAAGGTGACAGGGACACTGTTAAGGGGAATGCGGGTGGGTTGTGGGGACACAGTTGAGGTGCTGGAGGACACAAGGGGAATGCAGGAGGAGTTAAGGTGACAGGGGACACAGTTAATGTGACAGGGACAGAATTTAAGGTGACAGGGACACAGTGAAGAGGAATAGGGACGGAGTTAAGGTGATGGGGACACAGTTAATGTGATGGGGCCAAGTTAAGGGGAATAGGGGCAGAGTTAAGGTGACGGGGGGTTGTGGGGACACAGTTGAGGTGCTGGAGGACACAAGGGGAATGCAGGAGGAGTTAAGGTGACAGGGACACAGTTAAAGTGACAGGGACAGAATTTAAAGTGACAGGGACACAGTTAATGTGACAGGGACCAAGTGAAGGTGACAGGGAACACAGGTGCCCTGAGCCATAGGTAGGTGATTCGGGTGCCCCTGACATTTGGGACACTCTGTGTCCCCTCCCTTCCCTTCCGGAGCGATTCAAGCCCCATCACACATGGGGAAACTGAGGCACGGCCCCGGCCTGGCCGCCAGCCTCAGGCCGCGCTCCCGCCGCCCCCAGGTGCACGTCTACGACCCCTACGATGACGATTACTACCAGACAGTTCCTCTGGACTCCCACCAGACTGCCTACATCAGCTCCGGCCACTACGGCCACCAGTACGGAGGTGGGTGACCCCATCCCCACCCCAATTCACCCCATTTCTCCCCAAAATTCATCCAACGCTTCATTTGTCCAGCGTGGGGGTGTGGGGGGGTCACAGCTCCACCCTCAACACACAGACCCCCCCTCCCCCACCCCCCCAGGTGACGGTTTTGGAGTTGGGGGGTCGATGCCCAGTGCCAGGAGATGAGCTGAGACCTGGCAAACTCAGTGCACGGCGGCACAGTTGAGGTGGGGGCTGTTTGCTGTCCCCTGTAGCAACACAGGGGACACTGGTGACAGCCAAAAATAAGGGTCCCCCCCTCTCCATCCCAGGCTGGTGACACCCCTTAGGGGAAGCATCACCCCTGGGTTGGCATCTGGGGGTGCCAGGAGGGTGGTGGGTGTGTGTGTGTGTCA